AGAGAGAGAGAGAGAGAGAGAGAGAGAGAGAGAGAGAGAGAGATCAGTATTAAAATGCTATGGTTGTAAATCTGTCCACCCAAACTGACAAGTAGCGGCGTCGGTGGCCTATTATAGGCTACCGGTCCCGTCATCGTGACATTGTGGGTTCGGTGGTTCGAGCCTCAGCTCGGTCCGACGTTGTATCCATGGGAAAGGCACTTTACATGAATTTCCCATTCGGCTTGGTCCTCTCGGAGATGGACGTTAAACTTGGAAGTCACACCTATAAAATGAATAAATTAATAGTGTCGACAGGGGCGTTAAACCCATGCCATTTATGAGGTGTCGACAAAATGAGTTACTTCTCGCAATTCACGAATGGAGGGAGATGTCGGTCGAAAAGAGATGCATCAAATTTCTAGATTTTAAACGGATGTCATTTTCATCAATTGAACATGGATTTTATCATTTCACATAGTAAATAAATTTGTGCAAACCCAACCTATAAATTTCATGTAAATATCTGTGTTCATAGGGCAAAATTGTAAAAATAAAAATCCGAGATTTAACTCATTTTTGTCGTGCTGTACAGAATTATGTTGTGTCGCATTCAAACAAACAGGCATGGATTTTACTTTATCTACTTACATTTCATTCACCATTTTTAACCAACAGGGCGAGGAAACACTAAAAGACCAGAATGCTCATACGCCACGTCACCATTGTGCTTGTCCTGGCCTTTCTTTCCGAGAACGTGCCTGCCGCAGATGGTCAAGAAAATGACCAGAAGACCGTACTCGCTGCTGATCCATTTCAGTCCGAGTCAGGGATTCACCCACCAGCCCAGCCCCACCACCTGGTGTTCCAAGAACGTTCTGGACGCAACAGGCGTTTCCTGGACTTTCTGTTCGGCCGAAGGCGACGCACCGAGGCCACAAGCACAGAGAGCGAGCCGTGTACCCAGAACGGCGTGGATGGTTGTAGCGTACCGCTCGTGATTCCAGCCTTCTTCAGGGGCCGATTCACGCCCGCGTGCAACCGGCACGATGTCTGTTATGGATGTGTTAGTATTCTTTGTTGTTGTTGATGATGGTGATGTTGTTGCTGTTGTTGTTGTTGTTGTTTTGTTGTTGTTGTTGTTGATGATGATGATGATGATGATGATGATGATGATGATGATATTATTGTTGTTGTCGTTGTTGTTGTTGCTGTTGTCTCTATTGTTATTGCTGTTGATGTTGGTGTCGTCGTCGTCCTTGTTGTTGTTGTTGTTGTTTTTGGTGGGTTTTGTTGTTGTTGGAGTTGTTGTTGTTGTTGTTGTTGAAATCAACACCGTCATAATTATTGCTGTCTTCTCTGTGATCACAATACAGTCAAAACTGTTTAAGGCGGACACCCATTGTCGAGGAGAAAATTGTTGTCCTACGCAGGTAGACGTCTTTGACCATATTTTACAATCACAGATATAACAGGACAGACGGGAGGGACAGTTTTTCTGTGTTAGTTATAAACGAGTCCCGTTGTAACCGTTATCAAAGTAAACCACCAATACCATTGCACCTTTAAGCTATTCGATTACCGGCAGATCCTTTTTCATTGGGCTGTTTTGTTGACACTGAGACGGAATCAATCAGTGACCCCAACACTTTTTTTTTGGGGGGGGGGGTTGAAAGCTTGTGTTTAGGCAAGGGATGATACAAACATGCGAAATGTCTTGGTTGAGACCAATTTTCAATAATTTGACGGATCGAAAGCAAGTTCATGCGCTGCAAGACCACTGTCATCTCCGAGTCTGCGCAAATTGAACCCTGTTATAGACGGGTTCATATTACTTACACACATATATAGAGAAAAAACATTGATTGATCACTGATTTATCCAACTTCCTGTAATAACAGAGGCTGTTATAGATGGACTGGACTGTAGTATAATGTGAAAAAAATCCCACAAAGGTTAGGTGGAGGAGGGAGTGGTCATTTGTACATGCGATTGCTTAGACAGGTGGCAGTTAGAGCTGATTTGACTGTACAGTAAAATTCCGAACCCAACGAAACTCTCGGACTTGCACACACACACACACACACACACACACACACACACACACACACACACACACACACACACACACAC